CCAGTGTTCTCCACACCAGGATACTTCAGCATAGGGGCCTCTACATTGTGATTTGGACCCCCTATTCTGTGATTTAGCCCCCTATGCTGTCTTTCAACCAGTGTAGGGGTAATTCTTTTTGGGGAGAACCCTGTGACCCTTCAAAAATTAAAATTTGTCTTAAGAATGAAGCTATTCAAGATGAAATACACCAAATTTATCCCTCAAAGAGCAAGGAAGTTATATATCAGAGGGTTATGAGCTTTTGATTTTATTTTTTGGGAGAATACCAGACCCCTTACTGTGGTCATGTCTATGGGATTCCATGCATGGCTTGCACTATGGAAAGTTGTCCTTCTGTACCTGACCCCTACGCTGTGAAAAATTTCTGGTGAGAACCCTGATGTAATACAGGCCAGTTTGCAAGAGAGATTAGTCCAGGAAACTGGATCTTAGAGGTGGTCTGGTCCAGTGGGAACTGGACTGTAACCATGACCAATTTCAATTTCACAGACAAATGGATTTAGTCTAAATTTAGAACATGTCTTCCTACTAGTGTCCCTGGCTGTGTTGATAGTATTCACAGTATGATACCAGCCTTTGTGACAACAAATACTAGTAGGCTACAATATTCCATTATCTATTTAGTCATGATTTTTGATACCATACAAATGTATATCAAATATCGTAAGTTTTAACAAACAGTTATATTCTGGCTAATTAGTGAGGTTCAATCATTGTTATATAGAGTTTAATACAACACTACCCACAGTGTATCTTGCATTTTAAACACATTTTTTCTGTGAAAACAGTTTTGAAGACTTACATGTCTGGCTGTCACTACCCTCTCAGACCTAAGTTGTGGCTCTGCATTCACCAACATGCTACCAAAATGTCATTAACATTTGGGATGCTTGTGAGAAGGGAGACAAAAATTTTTCACAGCTGGCAAAACTGAACTCACTCACTGTCTGATTTACCCATCAGGATAAACCAAGAAGCTTCCATCACAATGTCCTTGGATTAACTTACCAAGACATCCTTCCCGACAGAAATGACTGTCTATTTGAATGGTGCACATAGACTTAATCCATATCATAGACTATCTGTCAGTTATAATAAATAGCTATTTTAGTATGAACATTTACACATCTATAAACAATACAGGTACTTGAATGGGAGTTTTCATGGCTCACCCAAAGCTGTACCCTATGGCCAGGCGAGTGATAGAACATCAAATAATGCTATGGGAAAAAGGACATTTTTAGATTCCTACTCATTTCACATTGTAGGGACCATCTTTCCTTCCTTGCTAATTAGGGGAAGATAATGTAATATTAAATTTAATTTGTTTTAAAGAGAGAAAGGGCAGATCACTTTAATTTAGAAATAAAAGCCAGTAGTTATTATTCTACCTTCCTCTCTCTATCCTTACCACAAGTTAAATGGTTTATCCCTCAATGTTCCCCTTTTCAATTCCCAAACTGTCAATGTCATGCCCAAACTATGGATCTGAAACATGACCTCAGGACTAAGGGCGTGTCCCACAATGTCCCTTGCCCACATTCTGTCCCATTGGGTTGGATTTAGATGCATCACCACAAAAGCATGCTTTGTGCAGGATAACCCTGTTGGCCACAGTTTTGTACTTGTAATCCTATGGGTAGGCACGTTCAATACCAAAAGGATATGTCATCTGTCTACACACAGCACTTTTGTGATGGCAGAGTTTAAAGCTAGAAGAACCACAAAATTTCAGATCTACCACTATAGACCTGAATGGCTATACTTTATATGAGTGAAATACAATATTATTTTGAAACCCACATATCTTTCACAATTATCTTGACTCTGTTTGTCTAACATTGATTTTAACCCTGTCTCCAGTATCCTTTGACAAACCAAAGGTGTAACAGCTGGAAAAGTAGAAATTTGAACTACAACAGACAACAATGCGTGCTCTGTAAAGACTGTAACAGGAAAATTAAATCTGAAGGTTTTAAAAAGTGAGAGAGCACTTCACATCCCATAATGACTGACAACCATGAAACTGTAATTTCTCCATCACTTATCATTCCAATAAGATCGACTGATTTTCTTGGCCATGACTACTTTGTATTGGCCATGTAGTTTAGAAAAAAATGCAATAATGCTGCTAAAATTGTCAACACACCATATCATATATTTATATCAACGGCTCAGATGACCATAGAATGATCTGTCAATCAACTAAATGCACTTGTGCACCATCATCTGAAAAGCTTCCGATTTCAAACTTGGCAAAAATACATTTTCCATGTTGAATGCAAGTTGTTCATTCAGTAATGCTATTATTATCTTTCTATCTTTGATGAAAATAACATTTGATAACATCCTGTTTCTTCAATGCATTTGACATGAAAATATAGAACTTCACATTTTCAATTCCATTCACTAGACATGCCTTTAAGATTGATTATGAAAGCACTTGAACTTGTAAATGATACTATCAGGTGCTAATGTTGCTGCATGCACCAAAACAATCATTTTACACCTACCCAATTGGCACACACTTCACTCTCACATTACCTACATGCTTGTTAATCTCCAAGCAGATCATACGGTGGCAAGGCAGTATCCATTGGCCAGAGGAGTG